ACTTGACCGCCATAAGTCACTGCGCAAATACAACGTAGCAGCGCAAAGTGGTCAGCAACGACTTTGCCATCGTCGCTTCACATGCGAACACCATCATATGCGCTGAGCCATTCTTCCATTGCGGGATGTCCTGATAATTCATTGACGGATACCGCGCCAACTGTTACTCACCTAGAGGCCATCATATTGCGGAATTGCTTCCTGATTTCGGGTGATGCAGCAAACAGCTCTTGAACCGGGATGTTGAGACTCGTGTCAAGTAGGCGCTCAATAACGCGCTTGTCGGCTTCCTTATCCTCCAATGCATGGGAGTATCGGTATTGACCGGTTGATGTTGCAGCAGCGGCGGGCAGGTTGGCAGTGGTTTTTGATGTATCTGGCGATGGTGCGGTGGTCGTTGATTTGGCGGATTCCTTACTGAATGATGCTGTTGGCGGTGATGCGGTAGTGGTTTTCGAAGTCTCAGCCGCCTTTCCTTTGCCTTTGCCCGACGTAGCTTGGACCTCCGGAGAGACAATCTCCTCAGCCATGGCTATTAGTCTGGACGCAGGACCGGGACATGCACAAGTTTCTCTGCTGACTTCAATGCCGTTGAATCGGACGGTCTTGCTCTTGGCGTCGTCTTTGGCGCTCCCGCACTTTAGATCCCGCCGAGCTGTTGCTAGCGCAAGTGCTTGCGCCGCGCACGCTACATCTAAATCATCCTCATCCTCGTCGGATTTGGGGTCAGCAATGGTATGGATGAATGCAGATGAATCAACATCCACAATGACTTCTATGCCTGGTGACGCGCGGTAAAACATACTGGCGGTAACGCTAGTGCCCGGCAATGCCTCATTGGCTTGTTGATTGCTGTGATAACGATCTAGACAATCTTTGAGCGTGCCGTCGCTCTGATGGCCGGGAATCCAATTGCCGTTGGGAAGTACAAGCTTATTGATCGTGACGTCGAACTTGCATTTGCCAGCTGCAATGTACTGGTCGCGTTCGCAACACCGACCCATGAAATGGTCTGATCCGCCGCAGAATATGCAGCCGCTGGGGCCATAGTTGCCACCACACTTTGCAAAATACTCCTGTTTTACCACAACGTTGGGTGCGGCTTGTTGCTGTACTGGCGCCGGTGATGGGACCATTGGTACGTACGGCGATGCTATTACCGGGATACTCGAAGGTACCATGCTGGTAACACCAATGCCCAGCAACAAAAATGTTGCGGCCATGACGACATCGCTGAATGGGTATGGGTCCCGCGGGTGGTGATCTGGAAATTTAATCATTAGCCGGGTAAGTGTTTGCGCCTGAATATCACTTGGGAAGCCATCTATGAAAATGCGGTCGCGTTCCACTTTACCTATCCAATCTTTTGTGATGAGTGCCCGCGCAATCTTGAGGAACGCGCGCTGATAATCACCCAGCTCTTTGACTGAGTGCATGGGGATGCTCTTTTGGTTATGCGCAATGGTCACTAGGTCGTCGACGGCATACTGCCAATCACCTTCACAACGTAGATACATCGTTTTTACCTCTTTGATGTAGGCGTCATAATCGCTACCTTTCGCCTCGGGCATTTCTGCCCATATCACGTTCGCTTGTTGATAGGTAGTGGATTATGCCTTTGATGCGGTCGCCATGTTGGAGGCGCGCCTCATTGGCGAGGACCTCATAGTTGTCGATGAACGCTAGGAGGTTTTTGGTTGTGCCGTCAAACTTCAGCGCGCCTTCTGTGCCACGGATCGGCATTCTGAAGGTAGGGGTGGTGGACATGATGGTTTGCGATGCGGCGGGCGGAGTTTGAGAGATGGGTTGCTGGATGAGGGGTGATGGGCCATGCGAGAAGATAGCGACTGCAGTGCGGATGGAGTTTGGTGCAGTTTGAGTGGCAGTTGGGTAGTGCGGGATAGTCAAAGAAGAGGCAGCGGTTGTTTTGGTTGTTGGGATACTTGGGAATTCTCGATCTAAATCACTGATGGACGTTAGCACGCTTAGGTTATCAATGTTACGTGTGCTAATGAGTGCCGGTTGTTCGGGCGTCGCGCAGAATGCGCCAGGTAGAAAATTCCTAGGATTATCTAGTGCTTCAAAATCGTCGGACAATTCACCTTGTACTGAATCCTTTGGTGAAGGCATGACTGGCAAAGCGGGCACGCGGTTGCGTGCTATGAATAAATCCAGGTCAGGGCGGGTCGGTTCTGAAACGTTGCGTGGGTGGCGCTTATTTTGCGTCGTGAATAACTCTTTGATAGGCGTTAGCTGCGTGTGCGGGAAAGCGCGGTTGAAACTATTGATCGCTTCTTGGCGCGCAGTGCGGTCCTTCGTAGGTCTCAGCTTTCTACTAGTCTTCTCAGATGATCCCCTCGCGGTGGGCTCCAGTTGTGTGTGAGGAATGATAGCTAGATGAGAAGGGGTGAAAGGGGGAGAAAGGGTGAAGCAGGGTAAAACTCAAATAGACCTCTGGACGTGAGTATAGATTCAGCCCAAGGGGATTGCTACTGAGAATGATTCCTCTAAGTAAAAATATGGAGGGGAAACTTAGAAACTGGTAAGAGTAACTGAGAATGGAAGAGTGCGCGACATTGTGCTTGAAGCGACGCGAGCGCGAGCGAGCCGCCGAGGGTGTGATACGATGTGCGACCGAGTGGCCGAAAGTTTGATGGAGCGCGAAGGTGCAGAGGAAAGCCGATGGTTTATATAGACGTGCGTCTAGCGGCTATGCAAGGAAGATGTGACGCGACGATAAAGAGGGAGGAGAGTTCCGACGATAGAAGCGATGAGTGATGCGTGAATGATAGCGCGACCGTTAATACAGCGTGCGATGTAGTCGGCCGAAGGTTTCTTTTTGATTCTGAGTCTGAGTGTTTGCGTGCAAACAGATGATAATTTCGATAGTGGGAAAAGAAGATACATGAAAATTCCTAAGTCTAAAGTATATATTGTAGCGCGCGTAGCGCTGTTCGGAACCGAGAAGATAATGGTAATACGTATTAAGGGTCTATAATGCAAGTAACGAAACATACGCAATATCACCTCCAAAAATATGATCAGTCTAACGCGAATGAGATAAAATACGCACCAATGAACAAGCGAAGGACATGGATAGGACGGAGGAGGATGCGCGATGGAACTGACGAAAAGCGGATGTGAACCGAAGCGCGCATGTGAGCCGTGGCCGTCGGCCGACGATAGGAAGGGTGCGCGCCGTGGTAGTGATAGCGTGCGCTGCGCTAGGACCTGAGAGATACTGCAAAAATAGCCTCTATGAGGCTACAAGGACTACAAGTCCTACACCGATTTGCTGTTCACAAAAAGGCGACATCCTGCAGTATGAATTGAATCTGCTGCAGGAGGTGCACCCTCCACTACTAGGCACTCCGAAGTGAGGACTTGAGCTATATAAAAAGATCAATTGTAAGCAGGCAAAGACTGAAATTGAATAAAAACATACCTTGTTTAGCTTCCCCAACTTTTTTGATGCTCATGGTCCCCGCTGTAGGACTTGGAGTCCTTGTAGCCTCATAGAGGCTATTCTTGCAGTGTCCCTCAGGTCCTCACACAGTGTGCGCTACCACTAACATGGCCTGCATCCTTTCCATCATTGGCTGATGGCCACAGCTCATGCGCACACATCAGCTCACATATGCTTTTCTTTGGCTCCATCGCTGTAGCACTCAAGCTTGCGCTAGGCTCATATTCAGCTATTTTCCAATGCATGTCAAATGCCCATCGCACATGAATCACTTCCCGATGTTATCCGACTCTCACCCGCTCAATCCGATGTTTATCCGTTAAACCCAATGCTAATCTGCTAATCCGACACTAATCCGACGAAACCTGACACTAGTCCAACAAACCCGACACTAGTCCAACAAACCCGACGTTTCCTGCACATTGGACCCGATATTTTCCCATGCACTTGTCCTCCCTATGTCCTGTCCTGTCGTATCTATCCCCACTAGGTGTGCAGTTACTTGTTTTCACATCGCTAACATTGTAGAACATGTTATTACATGTCTGCAGTACATTGTGTCTTATTACATAGGACATTGGACCCGAAAATCAGCACTACTACTTTCGCCTATAGCACTCCAAAATTCTACATAGACACTGTATATTTCGCATACCTCCTACCTATTTACTTGCCTTTCTACCTCCAAGTAGGAGGAGGTCATCCAATATTAGTAGTTCTTAGCTGAATTCCACAAATATCATCCTTTCTTTATCCGAAACACTTTGAAACATCCGACATTCGCTATCCCCGACATTCACTATATTCCTGACACAAACCCAATGCAAACCCAATGAACCCCGCTAACCCAAAACCTGAAAACATCGGACCAGACATTTTGACATCAGACTTGTAATTATACCTTTGGACTTTGTTTCCCACGCTTCAGACTATCTTCCTTTTCATATAACTGATTATTCTAATACCAAACAGCAAACCCCTCAGGTCAAATGCACTTGTCTTGCAAGTATAGCAGACTAGGCTGTGCAAGACCACAACAACATTATATATTTGGCTGAGAGTTTATCCACATGTTCCCTACTCAGCCATTGTTGTATTGTTACACCAGATGAGTACAGCTACCTATGGAGAGATGAGGACATACCTTTGGAAGCTGCCAACTAATCGGAAATTCAGGTAATCCTATGGGTTCATCGTCTTCATCATCACTAGTGGCATTGTCAGGTAAAATGTCCAAGAGGTCAGCCTCTTCAGCAATCTCTTTGAGTGCAGGGGCAATATGTTTGTCAGTATCATCCTCGGGGGAGGTATCTGTGAGTGCCAATGAAATTGGTACAAGCCTGTACATGACAGCTTGTGATGGTCCTGTGCTCTTGGAAAGCATAATAGCAAGATTGATTGCCATATTAGCACTGCTGTTGAAATGAGTAGCAGATGCTAGTGGGGTAACCCATTTACTCTGTAACTGAAGAAGGTGATCCTGTTGTTGTTGGAGTGGGAATATGTATGTATGATCTTGTGAAATAAGTAATGATCATCGATGTAAATGAAATTGCTTACTTGTAGGAGAGTGGAGAGCAAGTTCTAGCACAGCGAGCTCAGCTCCAAACCATTGACAAAGGTTATCTGCTTTGAGCCCAATGCAGTGCTGCTCTTCATGGCACCGTTCCTGTTTAAGCAACACTTGAATGCCATCTCTTACATCAGTGTCTTTGATCCAACGAGGGACATCTTCAACAGATGGAGTGATCCAAACATCCTCCATCAGTGTCTGATCTTTGCGAAGATCAGTGAGCTTAGTAGGGAGAGGAGTAGGAAGCAGGACACCCCAGGACGGTGTAGAGATACAACAATTGCTGGACACTACACGAAGTAAGTAGCCAGCAATATAAAAAATGTGTTGTGGTTGTGCACAGCCTAGTCTGCTATACTTGCAAGACAAGTGCATTCGACCTGAGGGGTTTGCTGTATGGTATTAGAATAATCAGTTATAACAAAAGGAAGATAGTCCAAAGCACGGGAAACAAAGTCCAAAGGTATAATTACGAGTCCGATGTCAAAAACGTCGGGTCCAATGTTTTCGGGTTTCGGTTTAGCAGGTTCATCGGGTTAGCGTCAGGAATGTAGCAAATGTTGGGGATAGCGAATGGTGGGTTACTGTCAGATGTTTCGGATAAAGAAAGGATGATATTGCAGAATCCAACTAAGAACTACGAATTATCAGGTTTTGACCACTAAGTATCGGGAAACGGCTCCCTACTACTTGGATAATGATAATACTCGTAGTCAGTCCAATATATATATGAGTACATAGAAATCCGGAACCCTATAGGCAAAAGTAGCGGCCGACGATTTCGGGTCTGAAGTACATGTAAATGAACACAAGGCGCTGCGGATGATGGGAAAACATGTAATAGCGCTGGCTATGATGTGAGTAATGTGTGAAATAATCAACTACGCACCTAGTGGGGCTAGCAAGATGGGATGGGACATGGATAGGACAAGTGCACAGGAAAATATCGGGTCTGATGTGGCCGAAACGTCGGGTCCACTAGTCAAAGTGTCGGGTTTGCGTCAGGTTGTGCGGGTTAGCGTCGGGTTACATCAGAAAGTAATGGGCATTAGACGTGTATCAGGAAATAAATGAATATGTGCTCAATGCAAGCTTGAGTGCTACAACGGGTCAAAGATGCTCTCCAGATGCTCACAATAGGAGTTAAACTTGCAAATCACTGTCATCAAGGCCAGCTGGCACTTAGCAATAGCCTTACGTGTCTGCTGATGTAGCTTCGTACCTTGTAGAATGAGTGAATATTCTGAGGCACAAAAACAGAAGGATTATACATTACCAAGTGCCTGATTTGCACTGCCAACTGCACAGTCAAGTTTGTCCCATTCAAAAAAGCTTCCTATCACTCTCTTCCAGATATTTATTTTGAGATCACACACCATAAGAAGGGTTCGAACAAAATCCAAATCAATGCCCTGAAGTTCTGGAAATCTGTCATGAACATTGAGAGAGGAATATGATGTTTCAACCTTGCTCATCAAGTGATCATGGCTGTGCTTGAGGCTCTCCAGAGCATCTAAGGTTTCTTCAGTAGCCGAGCCCTTCTCTACAATGGTCCATGTGAGTTGCAATGCCCTGTCCAATGCATCTAAATCAGCCTGCAAAGTAAGGACAATGTCAAGCTCCTTCTTCAGTCATGCAGGAGCATCTGTCAATGGGGATATGTTGATCTTAGTATGGAAGTGGTACCCGTGGACTTATGAGCACAAATGGACAGTTGGGACTTCTTCTGATCCACCCACTTTTCCTGAAGGTCTTGAGCTTTGATGCCGCAATTATCTAAAACTTCTTATGCTGCTGCACCCTGACCATTAACTCCATGCTTGAGCCACTGTTTAATCAAATTGCCAAGATCTGTTTGCATCTCAAGACCAATGGCACCTGCTTGCCGGTCTATCAACCACAGACACTTCTGGTGCTATCCATGAACTACAGTCAACAAATAATCATCAGAGTACTAGCACCAACTCACCGATGATGACCTTTGAATGCCAATTAATTTGACGAACCTTGACCATAGTCTTTCAGTTCCCTCCCTGTCTGAGAGGCCAAGACCATTGCACATGCGAGGGTTATACTTGAGCTGACACACCCACTTGTGGCCATATGCATGCATAGCCATGGTTGCAAATCAAAGATGCGAAGTTACTGAATTGGGGAGAATATCATACTATATAGATAGATATAAGGTTAAAATGTATCTATTAAAGAAGCACTTACTTGAGATAATGACCGTGAGAGAACACAACCAACATCATACAGGGCAATGACAGTGGCTTCCTGCAGCAATAGAGTAAACAGATGCTCGATGAGTGCTATGGCGTATTTCTGTTGCTCGCCAGGTAAATCAATGTTAGCAAAGAAGAGCAGGATATCGTGACGGCATATCAGAGCCATGCCACCCATATCATTGAAGGAATCCATCACAGCCTTCTGCTTCTTACCATCCACGGCCTCATATGAGTGCTCACATTGGTCAATTGCCTCATCTGGTACTAAAGAAGTGCAAATCTTCGGTGCACATTTACGCTGTGAGAGGATGTGTCGCCCAATGTTGTCCACTTGAGCCTTGGAAAGAAAATATATGGGGTTGTAAAAGCATGGACAGTCACCCACAGATTGTCGATGTCAATGATGGAAATTGCCATCTGTTGCAACGTGTATGTCGCCACCTTCACTAAGAGGTCTACCAAAAAGGACACCTCCAAAGCAGGCTGGGCAATGCTGCATGAGAATGGAGGTGCACCGGCCTTGGATCAATGTTGTACTAGATCACATGGGGGTGGTTACGCCAGGGTTCTTTTGAGATTAAAGTTTATGGGCCTCATACACTTGTTCACAACAAATTTGAAGTGTCGCTTCAGTCTGCCGTTCAACCTCAATCTGGAGGATGTCGAACCACTAGACAGCTTGGCCAAGTCCACAACGAAATGGTTCTTGAATAAGTTGGCCCTGTGTTTTACTAATGAGTGATTGTCAAAGCCTGAAAAGTCAAAACTCACATCTGCATTGGTCATGAGAAAGCCTCTGCAGGCATAATGGGTCTTTAGGATGTGAGCAAGCGCATGGATAGCATTGCATGAATGCTTGAACAAAGCATGATAGAATGTGAGTAGGTCTGTAGAAACGGCCATGCGTGGTTGGGAGGGAGCAGTAGGAAAGAGGCCATGTTAAGGAGGACTTGTGAAAGTGTTGAACATCAGCAAGCCAATACATCAATAGAAATGAAACCTGGAACTGTCAATTAAGGCAGCAGATGAGGAACAAACTACTTATGGTCAAAAAAGAGACCAACTATGGAAAATTGATGTGTACAATTACTATGGCTTGTGCAAGTGGATATGACCAGATGGACTTCTGGAAGAGCATGCCCATGTGTCCTTGTAGAATATTTGAGATGAGGATCTACCAGGGTTGGGATAAGCACTTTCCAAGCATTATATAGATTGTTTGCCATCTTGTTGGGCAAGAGACGGCAACACCCAAGCTCTACCTTAGGCACATTTGTAGGGCAAGATGCTACTTGATCAGGCTGGGCTACCTCATCGGTGATGTAATTGTTATCATTGTAGTTGGAACTTAGGGTATTGTCAATGTGACCAACAGTATGGTCAATATCCATTGGGGCTTGAGATTCAGTAGAGGTGGGGGTTTCAGTAGTCAAAACTTGGGGCTGCATCAACACAGCCATTTGGTCGAGGAGGCACTGATGCTTGGAGTTGACACCAGGAATGTGAACAAGAGTCTGTGTTTTTTAGGGTCTCGAGCTTTCTTTGGGCTTACAAAGTGGTGTCCTAGCCCCATAGATGTCGGTTGAGTGCCACATGTGTGGCGGGCAGGCAGCATGGTGATGGACATAGTGGTGTAAAACAAGAGGCAACAAAAAGAACTTGGGAAATAAAAATGACAAGCAGCTGCAGAGCATAGTAGAGGTCTGCCAGATCTGATGGGTGCACCATATGCATGGAGCCTATCTGGGGGCTCAACGAGATGGGACAGGATATTGGCAAACATTGTAGAGGTATATACAAGATAAATGGGGAGGTGCTGGGGAGGGCCGCAAGAGGTTGCAAGGCATATTATGTGTGTGCTATAAATAGAACATCCACGAGGGTGGGTCTGTGAGACTATATAATGCCTACATAATAATACCATCTAAGTAGGGATCCACATGGTGTGGAAACAACAATCTTGCTGGGTGGCAAGAAAAGGTTGGGTCAAGCTAATGCCTACCTGCTATGTCTATACAGACACATTCGACCCTAAAGGGAATTGCTACTAGTACAACGGAGGATATGTGCGACCCGAGGGCGCATTAAGCGTGGGAAAATAGTGGACAAGGTATGTGTGAGGTGTAGGAATGTATCCGAGGCTATCCGAAGCACGGGAATGCACGGCCGAAGGTGCGGAAAGTGCGGGAAAGTGCGGACAGGGTATAGGGAGGTTAAGGAACGAGGTTCAGAGAGAGCGAGGGCAAAGGTATATTGCGAGGTAAGGAAAGACTAGGTATAGGGACCTAATAGTGGCTAAAAAGCGCGCACTACAAGGGACTACTTCGAAGGTAAACCTATAGGGAGAGGTATCCAGTATGAGGGAAGTGTGTAAGTAATACTAAGAAGTAGCCAATTTATACTATCTAGACTCTCACTTGGAGAAGGAAGGGATAGGAAATATAGGAAATATGTAAGGACATGTAATAAGGCTGCAACACATTTTACAAGCCTCGAGGTAAGGAAATCCACATACCAATGGGGTTTGGATGGACTATGGATAGACAAGGGACCTTCCTAATGCGTTTCCGAGGTATCCGAAGCGTGGGAACGCGTGTCTGATGTGGCTGATGCGCGGGAAAGTGCGGATAAGCGGATGTGCAAAGCATGGGAAAAGTGGGTTTGGGTTTGGACAGAGGTTACTTGCTGGAAAAATGATGGACAATGATAAGGAAACTCATAGTGCTCTATACTCCTTGACACATATATGGACATGACCCATTTGCAGCCCAAGGAGGATCCGAGTGTCACAACGGGTAAACCCTGGGGTATCAGAGACCTCACCCGCACCTGCACCTGCATAAAGGGTATGGGTTTTTGGGGGGTATGGCAAGTTTGTACCCTTACCTATATCTGTGGGTAATACATATAAATATGAAGTTAGAAATTATAAAAATGAAACACTCACCTCCTGTGAACAGCAGGCAGCAACTTGAATCAGCGTGGCTCAAGCTCTGATGAGGATCGACAGACTCGCAAACTGCAAATGGTGGGCGACGACTTGGATCAGCATGGCTCAAGGTCCAATGAGGATCGACAGACTCACTCCCTGTGAACAGTGGGCAATGACATGGATCAGCATGGCTCGAGCTTCAACAAGGATCGACAGACTCACTTCCTGTGAACGGTGGACGACAACATGGATCAGCATGGCTCGAGCTTCAACAAGGATTGATGCACTCACTTCCTGTGAACAGTGGGCGATGACATGGATCAGCATGGCTCGAGCTTCAATGAGGATCAATGCACTCACCTCCTGCAAATAGTGGGCAGCGACTTGAATTAGCATGGCTCAAGCTCTGATGAGGATCGACAGACTCACTTCCTGTGAACAGTGAGCGACGACATGGATCAGCATGGCTCAAGCTCCAATGAGGATCAATGCACTCACTCACTGCAAATGGTGGGCAATGACTTGGATCAGCATGGCTCAAACTTGAAGGAGGACCAATACACTCACTTTGTCTACTTGAAGGTAGGTGTTGTGTTGAAGAAGATGGAGGGGCATAGCACACTATAGTACTAGGCAGGTGTAAGCATTAGCAATAGGCAGTACAAGTGTAAGCATTACTATAGTTCTCGATTAGATAATGTACTGGTCAAACCCGAGCGCAGGTGTGGGTGAGGGTCCAGGTACCCAAAATGCGGACCCCCACCCATACCCAAGGGGTACCCGCACAGGTTTTCAAAATCCGTGCATATGCCTACATCTAAGAGACCTTTATTGATACCAAGAACTAATGCCTGAGGTGACCATGCATGCGATACATCCCTCCTGTGTAATTATCCATCTGTGGCTGTGCCTGGTGAGCACCTCTTCATTGGAGGCTGCACTGGGCGAGGTCCCGTGAATTGCAAAGTAGATCTAGTCACTGCCTCACACGAAGGTCTCAAAATTTAATATGACAATGACAAAGCTTTCAGGAGGCCATAACTTAGGTACCAACAAAGGAAGTAAGAAGCAAATTGTATTAATTTATCAACAAAGATCATCATCTACTAGATCCTCTCAAGGAGGAATATCAAGGCAGGGATGTTCATCTTCATTGTCAGTGAGTCATCCCAGTGGCTACCAACACAGAAACATCCTTCCACTTTTCTTTGAATGATGCTGACAGACTGTGTCAAATGAATGCCTGCCACTTCGCATATGCAATCAGGCCCTCCATCTCCTCTGACCTGGCCAGCATTTACAAACTTGTACAGTCCTCCCACCATTGCACCTGCTAGTCAAAAAAGGCTAGAACTCACTGCATCTCTTCCAACAGTAGTTGAATCTCCTTGGACCATTAGTTTTGATGTGCCCTAGCTTTACACCACTCAACATGAAGTGCTGCAGTCTGAAATTAGCCCTGAGCATGTTAAAATGAAAGCAGACCTACAGTCTTGCAAACTTTTGGCATTGCTGTTGGAGACTCCATGTGTCAGCCAAATCCAAGACATAATGGCTGTGCCTTGTATTTGCCCTACAAAGTCTCCCATAGGACAGAGGTCAGATCTTATGAGCAGCTGTAGTTTCCGTTCCCAACCTGTTACGGCACACTAATTCTCTTCGCTTCTCCTTTGTTACCGGACAATGGTACTTAAACACAGCTGTTGATGAACGACCAATGACTTTCCAGACTCTTACTCATATCGTCGCCAAGCTGACTTTCCATGCTAGTAACCATCATTATGTTTAGCCGATCATCTCTTATCAAAGCGGGCTGTCTGCACCATGGTTACTATCTCCTATCTCTTATCTCTTATTGTCTACCAAGCGGGCTGTCCGCCTTCTATCTTGATACACATTTACAAGCTCCGCTTGAACTCTCGCTATATAGATACATAGCGTACCACATGTAGTTCTTCACTTTAATCTACTGGGTTCTACCTGGAACTAGTCCTTTAGCAAGGTCCCCAACCTTGCTATCTAAGAACCATTATTCTAAGGAAGTCGCCAATACTTGCCTTAGCCAGAAACCTCTGACCTCTCATTCGAGAGAAGAACCACGTCTGTCTCGCCGAATCTCAGTCCACTCGGACTAAGACAGCTCGACATACCCCAGTCGTAACAAAAGATTAAAGTCTTACCATAGACGCCACCATCTGCGACGTCAGCAGACACCACGACTTCGCTAACTCCTTTGATCGGAGCTTTGAACCTAGGCGCGCTACCGCCAATACCACCGTTAAATACAATGGCGACCACTACCAAAGAAGTAGAAATTAAGATTGGTTCTCCCCCCGAATTCGATGGAGATCGCGACGAATCGCACAGGTTCATGCTGAACTGTAATGCGTATTTAGATATCAACAAGAAGATCTATGACAGCGATAAGAAGAGAGTAATCTTCGCACTCTCGTTCATGACCAAGGGCAATGCAGCCGCTTGGAAAGAAGACTTCATGGAGACCGCTCAGAACTCCAAACGAAAGAATACCGCCGGAAATATCATCGGGTACGGCACCTGGGACGACTTCAAAGTCGCATTCAAGGAAGCCTTTGGAGCTATAGACCCTGCCGGAACGGCCATGGCTAAAGTACGAGCCCTTGAAATAAAAGGAGACCTCCACACATATATCTCCAACTATCGCCTCCTAGCCCATAAAGCGGGAATAACTGAGAACGTCACCAAAGTAGAGTTCTTCCGTGAAGGTCTTGATGTAGGACTTCGCAACAACCTCTACCACACTGGAGAAAGTTTAGACGACTTTGAAACCGTCATCGCGACGTGCATCAATCTGGATAACGCCTTCCAAAGATTGAGAGCCATACAGAAACGAGAAAACCCCGCTCAGTACCAGCATAAGAAAAAGAAGTACGGAGATCGCCACTTTACCCCCCGCAGAAGCGATGCCATGGAGATAGACCAGCTCTCCGAGTCCGAAGTAAAAAGACACCTCAAAGAAGGA